AAACATTACCAACAGGAGACTGGTGATGGGATAACGTTAATTGCGAAGCTTTGCATTATAAATACAGTAAGCTCGAGTCAAGGCCAGCAAGCAAGGCGCTAAGCAATTATGAATTATGCAATCAAATAGAATCAAGTTGCAACCGAGAAATTTCAGAGTTAACAGCTAGGTATTTATTTATCTTATGATGCGTAAAAATAACGATTGCATTGCGCATGAATAATTTATGAACACGACCTCTACTGGCAGTTTTCGCAAGTTGAGCACGTACATAGTTCTACCAAATATTTGGCATTTCGTACGAACATTTTTTTAACAAACTGATTATTATGTTTTATAGTTACACTACAATAACTAATTTCATAATGCATTGGCTTATTTTTATGCAAAAATTTGATAACTTTATTGCTATTTTCCCAAAACTTTACTGATACTCATTGGAATCTCCGTTTGCGTCCTTGGATGCTCATGCGAGTTTTTAATAAGATGAAAATTCAGTTTCAAACGCTATCATTACTTATTTTAATTTGTTTGACCCAACTGCTCCCCTTAAATTTTAAAAGAGTTTAAAAAGAGTTTATTTTATTCTCAGGTTACTAGGGTCCCTGTCTGTGGTACTGGGCGAATGGGATCTACTTGGCGACTTGGAGCCGCTGTCTTCAGTGAAGCGCAACGTGAAGCGCGTGGTCGTCCACCCGCACTTTGTTTTCTGGAGGCCTGGCAACGACGTGGCTCTGCTCGAGCTCGACCGGCCCGTCAAGTTCGCACTACACATCCTGCCAATCTGCCTGCCTGACACCGACGACGATTTTGCCGGCCAAGTCGGCAGCGTCACAGGCTGGGGCGCGACTTCATTCGGTGAGTGAGGCACTTGAAACATTTTATTTGTGTCAGAAAATTTGAGTGTGTTTTTTAATATAACTTAGTCAGGATATAAAAATATGTACCCAAGCATAAAAAGTAAGGCTTTGATAACAAAACAATGTGTTTGACAGAGTGACAGGAAAAGCTACTTTCTTTAATTCTTATCGTCATAAAGTTGAACAAACAACAACAACACCTTAATCTTTCCGGGGCAGCGTTATTGTAAAAGTAACTGAGTCATTATTACCCTAAACAAGATACTTAATTCAGAAGAAACATTTATGTTCCCGGCAGGGTGACAGCGGAGGACCTCTCTCGGTGCGCCGGGCGGATGGACGGTGGGTGCTGGTGGGCATCATCTCTCATGGCATCAAGTGCGCCTACCCCAACTTGCCTGGCATCTACATGAGGGTATCTCACTACAAGCCATGGATACTAGAAGTCATAAATAATAAATAATTAAATAAAGAATTCAATTATGACCTCGTTTATTTGTTTCTTTCAATCGATTTTATTTTAATCAACCGAATTCGACTTTTTTCACAAGATATTCATCTGTTTGTAATAAAATGGGAATTATTTAATTTTTTAATAAAATTAAACAGAATAAATAAATCAAGGCTTCTTAAGTCATGACCTGCTGGTGTGATTTTAGTTTACTTTAAAATTATAATAGAACGTTTTGTTGTTTAGGACAGCCAAACTGCTTCCCCGGCCTGGCATGATATTGCTAGGTAAATACAATGCTCACCTGCAAGTAATCATGCCATTTTTGTCCCTCAAATTTACATGATATAACTCTTCTATTAACACATAACTATGAGCAAAAGCATTGCAATATATTTTCATTTATATACCGAACACGTTATAACATGTAAAAGCTATATTGTAAGTTAGACCACACCTGTCGTCGCCCATATAAAAAACCCACACAGGTCAATCCTGATTACCAACAGGATTGTTAACGTAACATATAGCACACAACGTCCTCATAGACTAAAGCAGTCATTTCATTTTCTCTCTTTGGAATTTGAAAATTATCTCATGGCTTCAAACAGCCCATTCAAATGGTCGATCACATGAGGTTTATTTTTGAAAAAATACTCGTCATCTGTCAATGATTGTTATTAGAAGTTTTGTAATATGCTAAATTTAATATGGTATGTGTTTTAATTGAATTTACCGAGCGTACAAATTAATAAAGTAAAACGAAATTCCAGTCATCGTAACGACCTCGTCATGCTTTAGAGATAAATCAGAGCAAATAGTTTGAATGACTTCTCTGTTGTAGCTTAAGTGTTGTTTGCAAACTAAGAGCCTATTATAACTTCTACAATTTGTAAACTAGCTTGACATCGACCCATTCATTTCGGGAGTGTAATAAGTGATTAGAATGCAAGTAAAGACAATACGTAGAATTGTGGGATCTTAATAATGCGATCGTTGACATTAAACAAATTAGAAATGCCTATAGTCTAGATAATATAATTTTTTGACAGCTTTTTCTTTGTATTGTTTTATATAGATACATAAATGTGCTATATAAATGTATTAATGTGCAATTTAAAGTTAAATTTGTTTTGAGGAACATTTTCTCGGTAGAGAAATGAATTTATAATCCGTTTGTTTGCTGGAAAATTCATTCTGCTGGGTCGAAACTTTAGTGATGACGATAATTAGATATTTTCATAGGAGCAGAAATAATGCGAGAAAATTATATTGTAAACAAAAATCTCATAAGAAAAGCTTCAATGTGAAATTCCTTACAAAACTCGTCATAAACTGGAACACACAAAAATTTTACAAATTTTCTGTAATAGCTTTTGTTTGACTTTTAGAAAGTTAACTACATCAACCACCTGATAAATAAACCCAAATCAAGAATAAACCAACATATCTGTTCGTATGAAATGATATGTTAAGTACACAAACGCTCCTCGAGTTCCAGGAACCACGCGCTTGTGCAACAATATCTTTCGTCCGATTACTGGACAAGCTCATCGCTGGAGGACCGTCCGCAGCTGCTAGCAACAAGCGTCAAACGTTCTGTCCTCGCAGCTATGAATAGAAAAGAAGTAACCTCCCCTGCATGATGATGGCCACGCGCGTGAGCTAAGACAACTACGCAGTCAGTTTTGTTAGGGACTGGAATGCGAGTTGACGTTTTTTTTCCATACAGTATAAGAATTTGTTTCTAGAATGTAATATATTGGTGTTTTTACAACCTACAAGACCGGTATTCGTCAAAGATTCAACTTAACTGGAAATAATGAACGCTAAAAAAATGCAGTACCTCCGACCGACTGATATCCGGCTAGAACCAGTAAGGGGTCCTCATCTGTTTCATTTTGACCAAGAAGGTTGTCCAACGTTTTCATTTTGATTGAATTTCCAGTATGTGCAGCTGGGATTATCACGCACAATTAATGTTTGTTGTCCGATTTTATGATGCGGAAGCCATGCAGCTAAACCCGAGTGAATATTTGGCATTATTTCTTAAAAATGTGAGTTATTTGAAATAACATTGTCATGTGCTGTAGAAGGTTGAAGAAGTAATGTTTTTTATTAATAAAAAAGATTTGGGAAGACTCCTCGGCGGCTCTCAATCTGAATGCGGAAAAGATTGACTCGAAGTTTCGAATGCAGTGCTACGCCTTTAGAAAATTGCGATCTGTCCTGTTTGAACAAGTATCAAATTTTGCTTTAATACAGCAATGCGGCCTAGTAAATGTTTTAATTTAAACTCCTTATTTTAAGGTATGGTTTTAGGTACATTGAATTTTTTTGCACTTTCGTGATCTCATAATGACGATAGACCTCTAAAGCTAAATTTCATAAACTCGTGCGTATAGAATGGATTTGTAAGATTTTTTAATGAATGCACGGTCTTGACTGAATATTGTTACTTTATGATTCATATGAACAATTTTGAAGTTATGGAGACTTTTTTATGACTGACACATTCTTTGTCAGTCATCGTATTTTTTAAGTTATTCCCGCCTGCCGAACTTCAAGGCAATCCCGATTGTGATTACCATAACTTTTTTACTCTTCTTAACGCAGTGTGTTGAATTTCGGCAATTTATCAAATTGCAAAATTATTCCAAGTAAGGACTAAAGTGTAAATATAATTCAGTAATCCCAGAGTGAATTTATACTAGTTGTTACCGAGCGTTCACACGCCAAAAAATGAGCAAAGGGACGTTCATGAAACTATGACCCTTATCTTGACTGGAAGAATAATTAGTATCTTAGAACCGTGTTCAAGAACGATCGTCGCCTGAAGTGCGGAACCGGTCTCATGACTTTCAGGCGTACTCTGCCTTGCCGCCGCAAGTTGCAGAACGTAACCGATGGCAGTCTTTATATGAACATTGCTAAGCACTTAAAATTAGCCCCAGTCAGGCAGTAAAACCAAAACACAAACTAAAATTATGCGATTGCGTACTGACAAGACCAATTTTGTAATTGTTTGAATGCCGAGTAGTCATGACGGCATTCAATTTATAGTTTGAGATGCATTATGTAAGATAAGAGTGCAATTGCGTACCAATACCGCGTACTGCCAAACGTAAACATAGAAGCTTGTATTCATGTGACATATGTTTGCCTGGAGAAAAATTTGGAGAAAATTTTTGGCCAAAGAAAAATTAGTTCATCCAATTACGGCTGAACTAATATTAGTTCGACCGTGATCCAACCGTGATGAAATTAGATAAATAGGGGCACAGTCCGACAGCAATCAGGGCAGTAGAATGGAATACTAATACAAGTATTAGTACAAGTTGTACCAATAACTATTATTAATAATTCCAAATATAATCCTTTAGTTTAACCATAGGTCACATTAAGCGATTGCCTATGACTTGTTTGAAACCTTAAAATTCATCAATAACAGTAACAATCGGTAAACCTTCGCAAATATATATATAATATTTTAGCGTTCTTAAGTGCTTCAGAGGAATGTTCATCTTCTATGTGGAATGAGAATCAAAATCCAGCGGGCGCCTATAAGTACCTAGATCCTATCTAGCTGCAAATCAACTTTCAGCTCGCACTACAAGCACGACCAAAAATTCATATTTTACTCGAGTTTTTGAGTTTCGCAGCGCTCTTCTTGGTGGAGTTTTAATGCAGTTCAAAAACCAGTTTTCAGGCGATGCCAGCTGAGGATACAGACATCATATACAGGCAGCACGAGTCAGTCTGCTAGCGACAACGAACGTGAGTGGTTAATGTCGTGTCGTGCTCAAGTGCGGATTTTGTAATTTGTTACATAATATCATTTTTCAAGGGATTAGGAATGCAATGTTTAAATTTGATGGGTAAAAAGTGTAACTTTATCTTGTAATGCATGTAGTGTGCTAACTATAAATTAATATTGTCCGTGCTTGGGATCAATCGAATAATTAACCTGAGCTTACATTTATGCCCATGGCTTTACTATTTGGACAATTTTTTCCTCAGTAGATTCAATTTATTATTATTCTGTAGAATTTTTATTGCGCTGGGTCAGTCTAAACTGTTTATTTTCTGGGCTAGGACTTGGGAACTACGCGTCAAAATAGTGCTGGATTAACCTTTCACAGTTAGACGTCCTTGAAGTTGAAGTAAAATAATGCAAGGAATCTACACGTTAGCGAGGAATCGATTTAAATTAACCTGCATCCAGAGAATTCAAAATCTATTACATTATAATTATATTCGGAATGATATTTCACTAATTTGCGGAATGATTATTGTAAATGAATTCGATTGTTGGGATGAACGCTATCCGGAAACACGCATATTTGGTTCTGTTATGTGTTGTGCTATTACTCTGAACAATCTATCGAATTGTTTCTCTAACATAGCGTCGCAAAAACAATCGCATCATCCGCCTCTCATCTTGCATGATACATTGAATACACAAACGAATAATCGACCACTGCAACTGGTCAAAACATTCAACGACGGCAATCGGCGCAGCAACGATTTGAACACTTTAGCAGTTTAGCCCATCGGCGATGAACATTGTTACATCAACCGTTAACGATTTGTTTAGTACAGTAGCTCTGACGCAAAAGTTCCGGCTAAATCTGGCATGTTGCTCATACTTGTAATGTTCGTGACTTGTATCTAGCAGATATTAAAACACGTTGTTTAACCTGGTCTATCCAAAATTACTTTGAGGCTATACAGCTACATTTCTTTTCCAAGGTCTACAAGACGGGAGTTACATCTCGTTATTCAAGTCCAATATTATACCGCCCCATTTGTATGTGTATTCTATTCTTTAACGCGTTCATATTCGGGCCTCTATTAGCTACGTCAACAGGAAGGAAGTCCGTTACGCAAGTCGGTTACACGAAACGAGAAGAAGTGATGTTGTTATACGACTGAGTTGCATCACAGTATTCATACTCTAGCAAAATGGTCCGTGTTTCATATTGTTCTTACCGCTAACAAGTATTTGATTAGACACTTCTCTCATAACGGCCTTTTCGTAAGCGTTAAATTCGCTTTGACTCATAAAACCACCATTGAGAAAGCATATTATACTGTCTGATTCGCAAGACGTCTGTTTAGCGACCATTCGATTCACTTTGATTTACACAACGGCCGTTTATTAAGCATTTAAATCACAGTACGACTGTTAACAGAGAGCATTCTAATTCTCATCATCGTGTTCGGTTAACGTCGTATAGAAGTTGTCAAATCTGCTTGCTGAAAAATTTTCATTTTGCCTAGATCTATAGCCATTTTATCAAACGTCTAGCTATGAAGCCTTTGAATGTCCATTATTAAACCGAGTCATCTTTCACAATTTGTAACGAAAACGGCAGATATATCATCTTCTGTCAATTAAATGAAACTCGTATATTTTAAGTCACAAACTCATGAAAACGTTTACGAACATCTTACTGATATCTGATTCCATTTCTTTCATTCTTTCTTGTAAAATATGCTCTTTGTTCCAGAGTGTTTCTGTTGTCCATCTTGAATCTTCTTCATGTTAGGCTTTAACGCTGTTGTTTGATGCTTAGAGTTCTTCGGAAGAATTTTTTCGCGTATTTATTCTCAATAATTTCTCTGTTTCGAGGTAAATTTCTTCGGTGATCATCAGATTTTTATTTGAATCAACTACATGCAGGAATGACTCAGGTTACTAACACAACAGGTACGAAGCTGGGCATTCCAGAAAATGCACTGTGCAACTTCAGGTGCCAATATGTCGTGGAAAATATTGGTAAGAATGTGATGCAACTGGTCATCCAGTGGTTGGGGGGAATTGAAAATATGAATATTAAAGAGAGACTCGAACGATGTCCTGGATTCACAGACAAGAAATATAGGCGCGAGTTCAACGAAGAGCAGAGATCTAAAATCGACAAAAATGCAGACCTGAGTGGATATGACATCACTCTTTGCTATAAGCTGGCGCAGAGGATTTGTGGTTTGAGCTCAATCTCCGATCGCATGTGGAATTCTGATAGTTCCTCATGTCCTTCTTTGGAATTCAAACTCCAGTCTTTAAAATCAATCCGCAACGCCCTTGCTCATGGGGGCAAAATCTTTCCAGAAGAGTCACGAATGACGATCGAAAGCTTGAGCAATACTTTTACTGAGATTCTGTACGACGCGGGAGCACGAGCTTCCATTGATAAAGCTGTGATAGATGAAAAGATTCGTGAGGTCAAAACGCATATTCAAGTTATTTGCGGAAAAATTCGGGAACCTCTCAATCCAAACGACAGAGAACATTTCCAGCGCCTGCAAGATGAAGCAAGACTATTCCAGTCACAGTTAAAAGTAGAATTTCTGAAGCAAAGCTACAAAGAAATTAATGATCTGTTCCAAAAGCTATACAAAATTGAACCAGCACCGTGGGCTCTTCATCAACAGTACGAAGCGAGCCCAACTCAGGTGTTTGTGAGGGTTAAAGTTAGAGAAGACAAAGTGTTATCATCTAAAAAAGGGTTGCATCAAACTCCAGAAGTACCTTGTGATCAAATCTTAGAAATAAAAAATCACGCATCTGTGCTACCAGATGTAATTATCCTAAGCGGAGAAGGAGGTAAAGGAAAAACTTCCCTCATTAAGTACTTTTTGGAAGAGTACTTGAAGGGACCAGCATGTGCGGTGCAAAGACTCGCTGAAACCGAGCTTGTGCTGTATGTTGAAGCTAGAAATGATCAAATTAAGTCATTCAATGATTTGTTGATACGCACTATCCCATCCACATATTTAAATTTGACCGTAGCTTGCGACCATCTTACGGACATACTTATGGGTGTTAACAAGCTGTTTCTGATCGATGGTTTTGACGAACACAATCCTATTTCGCGCAATTTGGTGAAGGAGCTTGTAAATCTTCCGGGCAAAAATCGTTATATCATCACAACCAGACCTACATCGGTCGAAGACGTGAACATGCTTCTTCCAGATTCGAAATCCAAACTCAACTTGCTGCTCCAAGGAATCCCGGAAGATCAACACGAGAACTTTGTACTAAAATTGTTCAGATCTCTTATTGAGGATGAAGATAAAATAATCGAGTCCACCAAGGAACTCATGAAGTGCTTACGACGATTGAAGCAAACGCTGGGAGAGCAACTAAACACACCACTCAATCTTGCACTGATTGTGCTGCTCTACTCTGTTGCTCCCGAGACTGTGAGGAATCTATCCAGCTCATTCGACCTCTACCATGAACTTAGGTCGATGATGACCGATAAATTGGTTTTCCGCTTAGTCACTTGCACTGATCTCACAGAGTCACCTGTCAATAAGAAATGCAAGCGCTTCTTGCGTTTCTTTGACCAAACATCATTCAGAGCTTTCTGTCGCAAAGAATATGAGTTGCGCGACAACACAAAGGAAAAGTTTGAGTGCGTTTGTGAGGAACTGAATCTACCTGATGATCTTGTTTTATCCTCATACCTCAACACAAAGAGATCTCTTCGGGGCATTGGATCACAGAAAGTTTATACCTATCAGCATCTCATGATGCTCGAGTTTGCCGCTGGATGTCATTTAGCTAGAGAAGTCATACAGTATGTGGAGAGCTTGCAATTGACAATTCCGGAAAACGCAATCCAATCTAACACTGACCGCACCCATCTCACCGACGACGAAACAGATCAGGACGAATGTATCAAATCGCCTCCGAAAGAGGAAAACAAAATGTCTGAATTTTCTGGACTCTCTCCGGAGAAGGCAACAAAGACAGGCGACTCAGTCTTCAAACCTCGACGCAGAAAACTTTCTGTAAGCAACAACATAATATGGAAAGTAATTCAAAAAGAATACCCGATAATCTCAAGCTGGAATGAAAATCAACGTGAAGATTTCATCAGCCGTGCTCAAAACGTGTTAATGTTCATGACCGGTGCCATCAGAGCGACAAATAAAGAACATCTCGTCTCGATTGCCAGCGACATTGTTCAGCTTGTGGACGACGAAGAAACCACAAACGGCCAACCATACACTGATATTCTCATGAAACTTGTGGCAGAATCCGGAAACGACGAACACATCATAAAATTCGTCGCAGTTGAAGTAAATCAATTAACAAAGAAAAAGTTCTGCATAGTAAAGGAGAACAGCCTGGGAATCTTTCACCAAATATTACGGGTCACTTGCCCTGAGATGATTGCCATTGACATCTGCACCGACCCGCAATTGGTTTTTGAGCTTAATGAAGTGCTTCAAACCATCTCTAAGCAAATGGTTAAGAAGCTGTCGCTTGTCTTCAGACACATGTATCATGATGGGCATCCCGGCGACTGTGCCCCTTTTCTTGTCCCTCTAAACGGCAGCACTACTTGCGAACTTGCTGAATTCTGGGGTGCACTAAGCAACGAGGGTCTCGACATCCTTCCAGAATGCTTGGGGGTCATGAACTTGAGATTACCCCCTGAACAAATTGGCTACCTCAACCAATCCCTAGATCGACTTCAGCTGTGGAGTTTAGGTAAGTCACTCGTGCTAACCAATGTGTAAGATAGTCATTTGTGAGCTGCGGCGGTACCACAGAAATAACAAATTTGTTATAAAATTGAACTGATATGGTAGTTGGAAAGCATATCAAATCGAACTGTGACGGCTCTATGCACTAAACGAACTACAGATGGTATTTGTGACTACGTTTGAGAAACGATTCTGACATCAGTAATGAAACATTACCAACAGGAGACTGGTGATGGGATAACGTTAATTGCGAAGCTTTGCATTATAAATACAGTAAGCTCGAGTCAAGGCCAGCAAGCAAGACGCTAAGCAGTTACGCAATCAAATCGAATAAAGTTGCAACCGAGAACTTGCAGAGTTAACAACTAGTATTTATTTATCCTATGATGCGTAAAAATAACGATTGAATTGCGCATGAATAATTTATGAACACGACCTCCACTGGCAGTTCTTGCAAGCTGAGCACGTACATAGGTCTAACAAGATATTTGGTATTTCGTACAAGCACTTTTTCAGCAAACGGATTATTATGTTTTATAGTTACACAATCATAACTAATTTCATAATGCATTGGCTTATTTTTATGCATAAATTTGATAACTTTATTGCTAACCGCCCTAGGGGCAGGGTGGCCCAGTGGTTACAGTTCAGAGTACCAAGATTGGCGCAGAGAGGCGCGGGTTCGATCCCAGCTCTGTGCGCCAGTTTCTGGTCAGAATCGGCAAGGAGGCCGGGCGGTTAAGCATAGCAGGATTGTAGCAGTGAGTTGCGAGTTCGAGACCGCAACAAGCTGTGAATGTTCTGCGATGTTAAGAATCGGCGACAGGCCTACGGCCTAATAAACGCTGAAACCGCTATTATTTATTATTATTATATTTTCTCAAAACTTTACTGCTACTCATTGGAATCCCCGTTTGCGTCCTTGGATGCTCATGCGAGTTTTTAATTCAGTTTCAAACGCTATCATTACTTATTTTAATTTGTTTGACCCAACTTTGACGATTTATGCAGGCACGGTAGTGAACCTCAGTCACCGGCCTGATCCCACCACAATCGAAGCCGTACGGTTCAAAGGACCCCGCCTTGTGCTCCTCATATCGGCAGTTTTGCGCGACTGTGCCGACGACATCGAGTGGGCGTTAGATGCTCTCGAAAACTTGTGCCCTGAAGATAGAAACAAGCAAGTTACCATCTTTGGTTATTGGGATACCAAATTGACGTGTAAGTGAGAGAAAAATTCACTTTCTTAATTATTGTTGAGTCAAAAGATTAACATTGTGTGTTTGGCTCAACCATCAACCTATCAACCTATGCACCTTGTAGTACTTGAAATTTCTGAATTAAATTATTACTGTGGGATTCTAACCTAACCTATTAAATTAGTGTTCCATAGGAAGACTATAAAACAGTATTCACCCCAGTCGAAATTCGTTTCAAATTCGTATTTTTTTAATCCTGTGTTCTCTTAGTGAGAAAAAAACTGTAATAATTTAAACTAATTAGCAGGAAACACAACAAATCTTTTTGATTGGTTATGCGCTTCAGACACAGGCGCTGTGCTGCTGCTCGAAGGCCTGCATAGGCGCGGCTTCGTTGCGTTAGACTTCGTGGTGATGAGATCGACTGAACTTATTCAACAGGCCCAGCAGGACGAACTCACCAACTTGGCTCATAGTCTGGGACAGAAAAAGGTTTTTATAGACTCTATCCCGTTTTGCTTGCATAGGTTGTTCATGTGAACCCAGGACATATAGGGCATATGCGGCGGCAGAAAAAGTGATTGCGCTTGACAATAGTTATTTAATTTTCCCTGAATTGAAATTGCAGAAAGCTTTAGAATCGCGGCGGATTTTTGCTGTCGAAATAAATTTTGAGTCGAATTAGCTTATATAAAACTCTTCATTGTCACGTTATGAGTTTAATTAAAGATAGAGAGTTGTATCTTGCAGATTGTTCGCGAACTGGATATTCTCATTGATCAAAATTTATATCCCTACTTATATAGTCGCTCGTTATTTTAGATATTACAAATTCAGGTACTGCCTATAAGCTGGATTATTTCTCTTCTGGTATGTTCTCTTTTTATGAAATTATATTTTGAGTTTGTCAAGTTAATTTCTAAAATTTTTTTGTGCAGTTTTTGATCATCAAGGACCCGTGAACACCTCGCTAGGGATGGTTGGAAGTAAACTTGATTTTGTACCTACGAGTGTTTTCTCCGTGCTTCCATCGTGACCACATATACAAACAAATACTTTAGGTATTGAAAAGCTTCTTATGAAAAATGAACCGTTGTTTGTAAATAACACTTGGTTGTGTGATCACGGTACTGCGCGTACCTTATCTTAATCGTTCGTTCATGAGCAATTCCCAACAAAAATATTTATTTATCAAAGACGAGAAATGTATGAACATCTATACAAGAATCTTCCGAGTTGAATCTTCCTACATGAAACTTTTTTCTACACGAGCCTTTGTTTCAACATAATCCTTAATTTATAAATGAATCTCTCTACCCAAATATTTTTCATTAAACTTCTATACACAAATCTTTTGACATAAATTTTTTACATGAATTTTTCAACATGAATATTTTGTCATAGCAAAGTATATATACGAATGTGTAAACTTTTTCTGTTTAAAATCTATTTTAAGGCTGAAGCAATTGTTGACTTACGAAGGTGTTGATTTTTTTAATACTAAATCTGTAACCTTTTATATGTACTTACTTATTGCTAAATGTGAAATTATTGCTAGATTGATTATTAATTAAATTATAGATTATTTAAATCATAATGAAACTCTCTCTTAAACATATGAAGTTACCAGATGTGTCATGCTATTGTGCTTCATCATTACAACACATGAACGATGTCTTCCAAAGCTGAATATTTATGTTGAGTCCAATGTTACGTAGGTAATGAGCTGAACTTTTAATTTTGTTTGAAAACGCTAGCGCAATGTCACGTATGACATTGGAGTCTTCCATTAACTAAGAGAAAGAAATAAAAAACATAGCGGTTTCAGCGTTTATTTATATGTGGTTAATGGATCTTTCCCACGCTCTACGGAATGCGCTGTGGCTTTCCTTCGACTTGGCCATGCTGGCGTGAGGATCAACTATAGGCACGTTTCAATTTGTCTAATTCTTGTATATGCCCTACGTGCAATACGGGGGACAATATTAGTCATGTCATCTTGCAGTGTTCACTGAACTCAAACCAGAGAGTTTCGCACAAACTTGGAAAATCTTTCACTTCCTTCGAACCTTGTATCAGCTCCTGGTGAAGGAGATATCCCTCAGAAAATAAGCATATCAGTAATTCGTCGGCTGGAACAATACCTGCTGCGCTGCAGCATGGTAAACACCATATGAAGATGCCCCTGTAACTAATTCTTTTGTCTCTTCTTTTACACAAAAACCACCGGCTAGTGAAAGTGTTCTAGAAATTAAACTGTGAAACTAGAGGCACGAGAAAAAAACTCAGATAAAAATCAAGTTGTGTTCAGACTGGGCGGTGCGATCTCTTCATATCCGAAGTCTTAAAATCAATTTTAAAGAATATCCCAATTATGTTGTACTGAACGGGAATGTGAAATAACTGTTTCACACTTCAGTACGAAAAAGGCGAGAGAGTAAAACAAATTATTGTACAACTGCGTGAGACTGCATTATTTTAACTATGCTAACACATCCAGGTAATAAAAACCTTATCGTAAAACACTATGAGACTTTATCAGACCAACAAAAAGATGACGTGTACATCGATAAAGCATATATGTACATTAAAGGAAGACTCTCAGGCCTGCTAGAGCAGACCCATGTTTGGTAGTTTTGGGTTAGTCACACCACAGCAGAACTCTGAGTAGGATGTAATTTTTACTTGAGTTTACAAATGAATGGGATTATTTAGAAGACAACGCAATTTTTTAAAAGGCACTAAACAGGAACGAGTGAGTGCATAAAAATTCTTTTGAAAATTAATATAAATATTAGTTGTGTAAATTTGTTGTGTTCACTTGTATGACGTTTGGAGGTCGCTATATATAAATAGCCAAAATTGTCGTGGATATGTTATACTGACATATAATTGCGCTAAAGTGATGAAATGGATTATGAAATGACATATCGTAAAGGGGAAAACAGTTACTGAGTTAGATCTAAAAATAAGCAAGCATCGAACTTTTATTATTCATTATTTTCATTTATATCTAAAAATGAGCAGCGTGTTTGCTTTCGCATCATAGAACAGAATTGTGAGGCGTTAATTAATGTTTTTTTGGCCCTTTAACTTATCATCAGAGAAAAAAGTGGATGCGCTGTATTACTTTCATTGTACAATTGCCATCGCTAACCACATATTATTTACTAATCAATTTACCGCCAAGGGCACCCGAGTCGCCACTCTGTAGAAATTGCAATTACATCACCGCTCGTTAGAATTACGAGCCGAAGGGTTTGATACAGGTTAGAATAATGGTCAAAATTACGATTTGAAGGGTTCGATAACCACATGATAATGGTTAATATAGAGCTGCTTATTCAAACTACTGTTGACAGAAGAGGTTCAGTTTTGTCTGTAACAGTAATATAGATCGTTTCTATTGATGGGCGGCGACTTTATTGCTACTGACGAGGTTATTGCCATACACTGCAGGTTCCAAAAATTTTAAGCTTATAACATCAATTGAAAGAAAACCAATAAATTTCTACACAAAACGTGCCTACGAAAACTATCAGCCTCATTTTTTAGATACATACCTTGTTTTCTTTTGTCTTTTTCCCCCAAGCTCATTTTGCCGCCTCCTTGTTTAACGCAAAAATACCATTATCGTTTATGCATTGTAGCAAATGCTTGGGTGGGCATAAACGTACGTACACGTACATTTGTTTCAATTCTGACCTCGATACAACAAAAAGCCACTTACAAATACGATTCCGAGTTTCAAGGCGGCCAGCAGTTCTTCATTGACCATTTGCATTTAGGTCCCAAGGCCATACGCTCAGTTTTACACAACAATTTATCTGCTCAGTCTCAAGTCTGAATGATATCGTTGCAATTTTTAGAGCTTCCACACGGTGCTGACATATCTGTGTAGTTTGCTCAGTTTTGTGCGATCTCGCCACTAAGGAGGTAGTACTTTGGTCAATTTTGGCATTGTGCCTTGTTAAAAAAAATTGGAAGAGAACAGAAATAACCGGCATTCAAAGTGGTCGCGAAGTGACTTTTGAAAACGCAGTATTTTTCCTCATATCACATTACTGCGCGAATTACATGATGAACCTCATGACTGGCGGAATCAGTAGGATGGATGTAGAGTGTAGACACATACATATTTATTGGAATTAGTGACACCCCCTAAAATAGAAGCAAATACTGTTATGAAAACATCAATATTATTACACGAAAGACTAACAGCAACTTTGAGATTTTTGGCAACTGGCAGAAGTTGCAAGACCTAGGTCCTAGAATATACAACAATTATATCGAAACAAGCGCCAGGTTTACTTCGTTAACTGGTAAGTGAAACTGGGCACAAATTGAATCCGGTAACGGTGCTACCGTCTACCTAAACGTTCCGACTTGTCCGCGCAGTTCATCGAAATCTATGCTAAGACTTATATACTAAGACTTATATACTCTGTAGCTCAAATTACAAATATCGCTAAGGCTGACCCTTATATAGGCTCAAATATAGTTTGAACTATATAAGGCTGACCCAAGAGAAGTTCCGCCTTTCAGTTCAGCTTTCTTGTTACGTCACTGAGTTCAAGAAACGGAAGCAAACCCGTCATTCCCATGATGGATTGGTTGACTGGTTTGATCGCATTTCGGTGATTGATTAACTAGTATAAGGTTGACCCATGAAAAGCTCATTTTTGCGGATGTAGTGCGTAGTTCGTCTGTGACGCCACTGATCTCAGTGACGTCACAGGCAAGCAACACACTACATCCGCAAAAATGAGCTTTTCCACACCTTTACCTTTACTGATCTCAGTGACGTCACAGGCGAGCAACACACTACATCCGCAAAAATGACTACATCCGCAAAAATGAGATTTTCATGGGTCAACCTTATACTAGTTCAACCATGGCTGCAACTGTGCAATCTTCGCGCCGGCTTCAAACCTGCGCAGTTTTCCAGTGGAATCCCGTCCACACGTAACGTTTAATCTGCAACGATTAGAACTGCGCTGTCAAATCGTTGTGTTAAACTGAGCTTGGAGACCGGCCTTCAGAAGTTCAGATCGTCACGTCAAAATCATGAATCATTGGATTTGCATGCGTTAATACGTGATGCAACAGGTCTGCTGTGTGCTGTCCCATTTCATTGTTCAACCATGAGGCATGAGTATGTCCTCAGTGTCCTGTCTACCCCAGGGCCCAGTCATACGACTCATCCCTTTACCTGCACACGGGAAACTTGCACGAACAGGCTGTGCGATACCGATAGGCGATAGCGTGAGCAAATTTTGACTTGGTGGAATGACTGGAATCTGGAATGCGTGTATTGTATAGCAAAGCGATTAGGTTCTTATTCCGATGATTTTGATATACAAACTCTTAGGTACTCTGGGCCTTCTGAATTGCTCTGCAAATTAGCGAATTCACTGAATTGCAATGATGGTGATTTTAGTGATTTATCATGTAGCTATAATCTTTTCTATGACTGTGACTCTTGAGATTATTCCGATTTCAGAGTAGGTAAATGATTTTTGGGTTCAAACTTCTACCTACGTACAATCAACAATGTAGTATAAGTTTTGTGAGAGATACCAAGTCAGCAAGTCTGAGATATTGTTAAAGAAAGAATGAAATTACAACAATTTTAATGTTAAGAGACTATATGTAGGTACCCATGGACATGGTTAACTCTGTCTCTGAGTCTTTGACTCTGACAGTCCTTACTCCTCACCTTAGACTAGGGTAAACGCGGTATATTCCATCATCGTGGGTAATTCCGTCACCTCTCTAGTTTTTCCTTTATATTAAGCTTTGTTTTAGTTCCATGCGTTCGTTGATGGTTGAAATGGTGACGTCATACATTTGCGTGTCAAACTACTGCCAAAACACTAGGTCTTGCCATCTAGCGGGAAAATATTGAGATCCAAAGAGAGACAATGCACGCTACCCAGTGAAATCATCGAAAAATGTGTCAAATTTGACAGTTGACCTTGCTCTACCAAATAGTGAATAACTGTTTGTATAGGAATTATTTATTGATGGTACTTTATTGGTAGAATAGTTATTCCTCAAATCTAGTTTAACTCATAACTTCATAAGAAACAGAGTCATGACAGTTTTACAGAGTCTCACCTCTGTGACCCAGCCTCACTGACCCTAATCCCTAACTGGAAAATTTGGCAGAAACCACCTGTGAATTGAGCAGAAACTTCCATGAATCAGGTTACTTTCACTTCTTCATGTGGCAGTTTCCAAATTTAATCTGTAAAAAATTTGAAGAATGGCCTATTTTCCCCTGCAATTATTGAAAATCAGCCATTTGATGTGGCTCCTGCCAGTGCCAGAATGTCTCACTGGCTAACAATGGTGGACTGGGTGGTTGCTCATTGCTCAATAATGAAGCAGATTTGCAACATGAATGGTTGTGTGGTGAAATGTGTGGGTATGAAGAATGCTGTGGCATTAGCATTAGATCAGAACCTGGAATTTGGTGCAAAGATGTAGTGAAATGCATTTGCAATTTACATAGCATAATTAAAATAATGATAATGAATCTCAAAACATGCTGTTGAAACTTCAATTATATTCCACTTTTGGTGACAATTCATTTGACATGAATCCTTCTTGTTCCATAGTGGGATTGGTGGTAGTGGTGCCAATCTCCTGTGTTTTAATTCTCCATCAGATCTGGAACTGGATCTTATTTCTGTTTCTCCACTGACATGTTTTGATTAATGGAGATAGCTGAATTATTATTGAACATATATTGAGCACCATTATTAGGCTAGGCATTATCAACTATCCTTTAGGTGATACACATGACATCATCATTGACATGGGCTTGCTGCTTGCATTTTAGGTAATGGAATAGAGTCATATCATTGAAGTAATTTTTTTTGTAGAGTGCTCAAATTGGTCTTGCATTATTTTTTAATGCTCTAGTTCTCATTTTAACATATAGGTATACTAATATGGTTTCAAATACTCTGAAAAATCCCATTTTTATTACCAAATTTCATAAATGTTGCTAAATTCAAGTTAATAAATCTGAGTGCCAAAATCATGTCTTATATTGTTGCTTTCTTGTTGTATCTATCACCAATTTCTACATACAGATCACATTTTTATGTGAAATAAATAGCATTTTTAAAATAGAATCAGGTCAAGAATTTGTTGATTGTTGACTAGGCAGTCAGCACTGTCAAAAATGAGTAATACCAAGGATAAATCTATCATTGATCTTGATGATGACAATGATGATGATGATGACATACCATTAAGTCACAGGGCAAATCAGCACACTTCTTCTGGGAATTCAACTCTTTCTGTGTCAGACGAGAATGAGGATGACAGCCATATCCCCAGCAGAGAGACTTGTCAGGTCTGTTTCCTGTGAACTATATTTTCTATTCGAATTTTGAATAACTTTAAGAAACTGCTATTACTTTATAATGTGAAAGCTAAAAATTTCTTATTGTCTCATTCAGCTCTCAATTTTCAAATTTATGCTCATTGCCAATAGGTATTATCATTGTTTTGCCCTCAATATAATTTTCTAATGAACAATATATAATTCCAGGCTCTAACAGAACAGTTTGCCCAAGTGACTGGCACAGACACAGCATTGGCACAGTTCTTCCTGCAGGACAGACAATGGGACTTGGAGGTAAGAACTTTTGATTACTTGATAATTTGTATTTATTTTTAAGTACTTATAGCTTTGGTTTTTACTCAAGTAGATCATGCTAACATTTCATCTATCTCAATTTTTACTGTTTTGATGAAAGCTTATTGAGCTGCCACCATGAGGAATAAGGACTGGTAGTAAATTGGCATGCAAAAGGTGGCTGTGAAATTTTCATTATCAATCTATAAACATCACCAAATTTGGAATGGAAAATCAGTAATTGAAGCCAAACTAATTTTTAGGTTTCCTCTTCTTTAATTGTGAATTTCATCAACATAAATGTATTTGTGTAATATAAAGTTTACTATGGTAATGAATTATGTGTGTTTTTAAAATGAAGTTTTATTCCCAGTGTCCCGAGTAGCCCCGTTCGACGGGGCTACTCGGGACACTCTTTTTTTTTGCTTCTGGCACCTTACGAATAGCATATGGAATTTTTTTGAAGATGCCATTCGATAGCCCTCGTAAAGAGCTATAAAATGAGCCTAAACTTGTTTATGAAATGTTTCATCTTAAGAAGTTATTAACAAAAAACGCTCAAAACCGTCCCGAGTAGCCCCGGTTGACGGTAATATAAAGTTTACTATGGTAATGAATTATGTGTGTGGTCACACATGTGCCCATCCTTATTTATAAATTCTTGCTGAAGCCTAGAAATTTGTATTTTAATGGCAAGCCTTTTTTAAATTATTTTGGCCATATGTTCTTTTAAGATAATTTACAACCGTAATTGGTGGGAGATATTTGGACAAATTTTCAGCTGCTTCATCAAATTTTTCATGTTGGAGCCTGTCAGACTCTGAGTGACATCAGTTTCTTTCCAGAGATCAGTGAATGCATTTTTTGAAAGTAAAAAAGGAGGAGTGAAAGTTCTGCAAGATGGAGAAGAAAATGAGCTGGTGGTCACTTTTGACTCTAAAATGGTGGAAGCTTTGGAGGGTGTACAGGTGAAACAATACCTATACAAATGTTTCATATATATGAACTCTTTATTAAAGTCCAAACTAAAAACTGCAATGATAAATGTGTTGTAATGCCATCTCATGTTCAAATGACTACCTACATTTTATTAGAGAACATAAGTTCAAGTGATGTAGTATTAAAATATAAATAAGGAAAACATTCTGCTTGGTGATTCACAAATTTTGTGTTTCTAATAGCTGTATATACTGTTATTAACTTTAGGCTATAGTACATATTTGAAACAATTTTTTACTTGTTGGTAAAATACATGTTAACTTGAGCCTCATGATTTGTTGTAGTATATCTTTGCTGTGGAAAAAAATTTCTGTTGTTTTGCTTGGTGACAATACCGTAGCAGTCTTTTTTGAGATCATCATTATTATTATAATTTAATCAAGATCACTTCTATTAATTCTCATAAATTGAGTGGCTCATATACATATATAATTTGATAAATTTAAATTAAATTACATAAATTTCATCGTTGAGCCCTATTTGCAGGTATCAACGGTTGCCCCATCAAAATTTTCTATCATCTCTTGGAATATTGATGGCTTAGAACCAAGTTGTCTTAAGAAGAGGACAAAAGCAGTCATCAAAACCATCGAAGAGTAAGTAACTAAATTTAATTACAAAAATCTTGGCAGTTGTCAAAACCATTGAGACAGAAGACACTGGTGTTAACTTTAATAAAAAAAAACAAAGGCGGTTTTCTTCATGATTACTGGGTAAGTGTCTGTAATTCAGTTAAAAAATCATGTTGCCATCATTTCCATCATTGCATTAGGTTTTCAATGTAAGGATTAAAGGCTATTATCTAAATGATCAAAAGGAAAATTGGAAAGTTCAGTCTAGTGAATGAATAAAGTCTTCAAAACCAGTGCTGAGCAAGTTCAAAATCATTATTAGGCATCACATTAGGTCTGTGTATTATGTTTGCCAGCTGCTGTAGATCTGACATTCTGTCTATTCTGAATGTTATTTGTCTTTTAAACCATATGATTGGGATTTAATTTTTTTTCCTTCTATTAGAAAATTCTGATATTTTAAGTAGTACCATATATCACCAATATACCAATAATATACTACGCATATACAGCAAATATTTATTAACTGAATTGGTTTTATTTGCTTAACAACACACCAGCCAAAGCCAGAACATCAGTGTTTTAATTTGAATTTAGATGTGAATGATGTTTAATAAACATATCTAGGTATAACATCTCTCTAGGTTATATTTTTTTGCCAAAAATTTATTTTTCTTCAATACCCGGCAGTATTTCTGGATTTAGTTTTGTATTTCAAATGTCTTTGAAATATGTTTCGGGATATAAGAATTTTTTCATAAATTAGATCACATCATGATGTATTTGAGAACAACCAATGCATTTTGCAGAGAGCGACCTGATGTAGTGTTCCTGCAAGAGGTGGTGCCAGTGACATACAGCTACATGGAGGAACGCTTGCCTCAATACATGTTTATTGCTGCCGGCTCAGAAGGATACTTCACAACCATGCTGCTGCTGCGCACAACTGTCTACTTCGACGGACATGAATTGGTTTCTTTTCCCAGTACTGTAATGAGCAGAAACTTGCTGGTTGTAGATGTGAGTTGTTCAGTAATAACATCGAGACATAGTTCTAAATCATAGCTTTTGTGTAGTAATTATGCTACAGACAAAACTGCCTACAATTACCCCAGTTTTTTTTTTAATTCTTTTTTCAATAAATGGTGTACAAGTTGATGTTCACTGAATGCAAATTGTGAAGTAGCAAGTATTAATATTAGTCTGCATAATTGTATTTTTCTCTATAGCACGTGCTTGAAAAAACATGAATGAGGCAGATCCTAGCTAGAAGAAATCAAATGCAAACAACTTGTTTCTTGCTCCTGTAGGCACACATTGGCGCCTGCAACTTGCGGCTGATGACGAGCCACCTAGAGAGTATGGCAGAGCACTCTGAGGAACGCAAGAAGCAACTCAATATGGCCTTTGACCGCGTGACTTGCGCTCCCAGTAAATTCAACGTTATCTTTGGTGGTGACCTCAATCTCAGAGATAAAGAAGTATGTCAGACTGCCTATCAAATACACACCTACATTATATTTTAGTATGCAAGATTACGGTGTTCAATATGAGTAAATCCAAAGTTGTCTTTTGTGGTGACCTGCATCTCAGAAGAATGGGTATGCATACAACCTGTCATGTGAAAATACATTATACTTGTTCCAGTGCTTAATCGACTTCAGTTGAACCACTTACTCTTTTATTTTCTATTTTTTATTACATTTTAATTTATATTATTTTTTGGTATTATTATATTCAACTTTTTTAATTAGGTTTTCCTACCCGTTGCTAGTTCATAAATTCAAGAGAGCGGAAGCTCTGCAGCAGAGCCTTGCCGCTGTTTTTAATATAAGCAGCTTAATGAGTTCTCTGTGTGCACATGCGCAATGTTGAACCATCTTATACAGAAACAAATGCAAGTGTTCGCATGTGATGTTCTATAGCAAAATCCACACTCTACATGAAATAATTTTTTCCTGTGTCTGAATCCTATTCATGCAATGAAACTTTACTAATGTGAGCGGACCAGCCTCGCTACGTGCCTCAGGAGCAAGGAAAGCATGTTTCAAAACCAATCTCGTTATATCAACTGCATCTCTCTTGCGTGGCACGTACCCATAAATTATTTTTTACATCACAAACAAGTGAAATCATTATTGTACAACTAATGCACTTATTTAAATTGAATATTCAACTCAAGAATGTGGCTCTCGTTTGCTCAAAAAAATTCAAAAGTATTGTCTAACAATTCATGGATAGTTCTTTCAGAAAAGTTCACTGATGACCAGAGATGTTATTTACCATCTTCTTTTTCTCCATTTTGTGTTTTAGATATTATCTCACGCATATCCAAACAATATCTCATACATGCCCTAATAATACCTCGTGTAAGCCCAAGTAATGCCTAGCATAAGCCCAAGCAGCTGTTTTTTTTAGCCGTAGGAGCTTATGCTTGCCCTGTTGCAGTTGGCAGCTGTCGGGATGCCGTCTCGCGTTGACGACGTCTGGGAAGCGACTGGCAAACGCTTGGCAGCGCAGTACACGTGGGATCTCACAAGAAACACCAACAAACAAGTGAGAAGAATAAGTTCTGTAGATGACGACTGGCCTGGTACCTGACTCCTGAGCTATCTTCATCTCTTGATTGGATTACACCTCGTTCTCTTTTTAGCGCATTTTCTCATTTATGGAAAAAAATGCACTATTGTGCTCGCCATGTCCGTCTGTCTGTCCGTGACCTCAAGTTTTCGTCGACGAGAAAATGCGCGCTCTGTCACTCACTACAGTGAGTACTGAGTTATATTTTTTCTTTATTTTGCGTATTACACATTGAGTAAGGTTTATTAGTACGAATATAAGGTTTTGAAGAGACATGATATTTTGTTATTACGTAATTTGAATTTAAACTATAAATTTTTAGCTAAATAAATATTGCTAAATTTTTGTGTATCTGTCATTTCAAAATCTCGACCTTCAAGTGGTTGAGAAGTCCGTTTTATTTGATAATGCATAAATATTCCCATTTGAAGTGTCATAAGAACAAAAATAAAATGTCCTTCAAAATTTTAATTTCGAATTACCAAACAATACTTAATAGTATCTAATATGTCAAATATAAAAAAGTAAGAGGATGTCCTCTTAAGTTTCCTTGATGAATGATGTCCTTTTCATCTGCCTGTCTTACCGGGGATGGTTTCCCATTAATGAATTCTTCCCATTTTAAACATTTTAAAGCTTAAATAATTTTTTTCCCAAGAAAATTAAGCTACCAGACCTTAAAAACGCATGGAATTGATGACGGTTAATAGATCTGTAGACGCAAGGCCATTATTTCAGTGGTGGTGAACATTTTCTTTTAAACTCAGACGTCCTTGTATGTTAACATCTTCATCTCAGCTAGAAACTATCTTTAGATTATTACTTTCTGATTTTCAGATGGCTTCCAAGTTCCAACCTCGTTGTCGGTTCGACCGAATGTACTTAAGACGGAGTGACAAATCCGCTTCACCGGCCAGTAAAGAGAAGGAAATCAAAGAGGGCCCTAGCGTGGCTGTGATCCGCCATTTCGGCCTCGTTGGCCTCAAAAAAGTTCAAGGCACCCAAGCCTTTCCATCGGATCATTGGGGATTGCATGCGCATTTTGAGATTGTGTGAGTGATGAAATAAGCTTTCTTATATAATCGTTGTGGATTGTAAGCGCCTTTTGAGATTGTGTGAGTGATGAAATAATCCTTCATATCTAATTATCGGAAATGCACATTCCTATCTGTACCTAAATAAGCTTCCATATCTGATCATTGGAATTGGTATGCCTATTTTGAGATTGTATAAGTGATGAAATAAGCATTCATATCTGAGCATTGGGGATTGCTCTGTATTTGGAAGTAGTGATGAAATAAGCCATACCATTTTATCTTCGGACAGAAAGCGCGTTTGAATTTCTAGGAAGGGATTGAGCAAGAATTTTTTAGACACTTGATCTCAGGCGGGTGACAAACTTCAAAAATATGGAGAAGCCACGATATTTGTCATAACGTAGTTTGCTGGTTCAACCAAATATAGTACGATTAATTGCGAAATGGAGAGAGAGCTTGCTTGCTTCTCTCTGGAGTGCAGTTTTTATGGAAGGATTTTTTTTACTGTGAAGTGAGTGATTTACTTGGTCTTTTCACTGACAGGAATTTCAAAAATAATTAAAAGGTCAAATAAATTCACCCAATCTTCATTGAAAACGATAGAGACCAGTTTCAACATTTGCTTGAACACGGGCAATCCGAGACAAACGCTGAAACAAAGAGACCAAGAAATCTAAGTACAGATCAATTGACAATATCAAATAATTCGTATTCAGGTTTCAGTCCCTCTCATTTCGGTCTCCTCTTTTCTCTATTTATTGCCCATTATTCTTGAATTTTGTCAACTGAATACAGAGCTGGTCTTACAATTGTTTTGAAGATGTGACGAATCACTCGGCATTGTCTTAGGTTTGATATTTTTTATATGACCTTGTGATTTAGTTGAATCTATTGAATAATAGGAACTTTTATTTACCCATACATTGGCAGTTCAAAATATCAATTAGCTCACTAGACCCTAATGTATTTATTTTTGCAAATATATATGTTAACAAGTCTGAATCTTACTTTAATAATTTTTTGCAGGTAATGTTATAATCACGGAAGAATGAAATGTTACTATGAGCGCCATATTGCGTGCAATTAAGCTGAGTGAGGGAATTTGACTTGCAATTAAAAGAATACATTTATGGTATTTGATGGGAACAGAGCTTCTTTGATGCTGGACATGCAGGGCCAAATCTACGGATAGTTTCAGTCACAAGATGCAGGCGGTCCAGCAACGAGTTGGTGGCCGTGCGTATCTCTCGAACGTCAGGAGCACTCAAGTCTCTGCACGAGGACAATTGCTATTAAGTTTTATGAAGAAAATTTGAAACGAGTTCAAAATGAATTAAATTAAATTGAAATTCAGGTCTAGGTGAATTCAAATTGACTAAAAATAAAAAAAAATAATAATAAATCTCTACAAATTGCTAATGTGATAGGCATGGCTATATTGACTAGAAAACAATATTTCTTTTTTTTTTAATTTACATGCAGAGAAAATGTCATGCAAATCTACGATAATTTCATTGAATCTTACCTTGAATATATAGTGAATTTGCTTAGAATTTTTCCTGGTTTTTAAATTCTTCGTTAATTTGCTATTAAAAGAACATTAAAAAAATTTTGTATGATCAATCTTGCGATGAAGTTTATAAAAAAACACTTACATATGACAAGCATTGTCTTGGACGGAGAGTGTCTTGGATGTGTTGCTCCTTTTGGGCTCACGATCAACCCTCAGTGATTCGACTATTATTTCCGCTTCTCTTGAGCTACTTGAATCAGTGACAATCTTACAGTCAACATTTGCGACCGTCGCAACCTTGATGTTTTCTTTACTTGCGAGGCTGAGAGATTCCAAAACTTCGGAGGCTGCTAATTTCAGTTCTTGAATTGAAGGACGGGTCACGGAACTGGCGGGAGGAAGCAGAGTATTATTAGTTCTGGCTGCATATTAATTAGCGTATTTTCACATAATCAGGTTTTATTTACAAAAATTAAATTTATAATGAGTACGTTAATATATTGGTGAATGTAACCCAACAATTAAAGCAAAATCAAAGCTATTCTAGTAGGTAATACGGTATACTATTACAATTCAATTTGCAAATTTTCATTGACAATCGTACAGAGAACATTCATGATTGCTTTTGAAACTAAATTAACATTGCCACGCACTTTTTCACAGGTTTTTCTGCATTAAATATATAAATATAAAGATAACCAGTAATGAACACGAAGGTTCTGAAAACATCTGTGAAAACTATTGTCACAGTGCATATGTCAGTGATATGAATTAAGTTGTTGTCAAAAATGTTCAATTTTTTGGACAATCAGAAAAGATGAAACTTACAAGCTGATAGTGAGCCGTGAGAGCTGAGGAATTAACCTTGCAGCCGTTTTCTCCAGGAGTCCATTGTGGGCCTCCACCGCAGCTTCAATAGCAGAGTAATTCAAATTTATTTGTCTGCAGACAAAAAATATAGGTAATTATTAACCAACGTGATTTTTATTATAATTTCATAGATACATTTAATTGTAACAGGTGTATAATATGCATCAGCAAACAAATGTTGAAGTAACAACTCAGAAAAAGACCACATGCAACATAAAATCATTGGATCAAATTGAGTCTGGCGCTGAATTTTCTAATTTTTTTTTAAATCTAGTTCTTTCAAAATAAAACAATGTATCATCTAAATATGTTACCAAAGAAAACTTTTTCAACTTTGTTTTCAATCTAATAAGTAAGTTTAGTTTAGTTTAGTGGCCAAATGTTTACTAGCGCTTCAGCTATTTAGCTATCTCGCACCGAAAGTCAAGATGAACATCACCATAGAGGTGGAAGGTCTCAATTATTCATCACCCACAAGGGGACGGAAGGTCTCAATTGTCCAGCCCGCTGAAGCTGGCTCGAAAGAAGCAGCGTTAGCATCTCAAAGAGACGAAGTGACAAGGAGGGACAGGTTAAAAGCAACCGAAACGAAGACACTCGAACAAGAGGTCGCTTATACGGGACGTCGGCCGCCCGCACGAGAGAGACAGAGAAGGGAAATGTAAGGAATCCTACCTAAATAATAACTTAACCCCACAACTGAGACCTGCAGTCAGACACCGCGAGCTCCGCGGTGGGGCGCTCAGGAACAATCCCCCTAGGAACGCGAAATCCCACAGGACTTCTGACGCGCAAAGACACGCGTCAGAAGTCCCCCCTGAGGGGATCTAATAAGTAAGGAAAAATAAACCTTGTGTGACAATGATTTAGAAATGCTTCTCTAATTTATGGCAGTATGACTGATATTGAAATTAAGTTGGAAGTAATATACATTGCCATTAACTGTTTTATAAACATACACAGCCAAATGTTACTAGAAAAGTACACAGAGACTGCGAACGCGCGCTCCTCTCTCGACCACTGCATGGTCGCAACTGAACTGAGTGGACGAAAAACTTCATAGCCCGCGCACCATATTGCGCATGGCGCCACCTTCCTAGGACTAATGGCCGCCACGTGGCGCGCAATTCAAATAAGTAAGTTCCCGCGCCGCACCCTGTACAATGCAAATTTCCCATTACTTTATCTGACCGCAACGATTACGCAGGACCAGCTCTGATGTGGGCGGTAAATTGGTTGTAGCCGTCAGATAAGCTGCAGATCCCTATTTGCATACTGGTTCCTTTCTTCTAGGATTTTAACTCGAATGCTAGGGTGAGTTGCGTGCGATAAGTGGTGAAATTTGAATTTGATTACTTGGTGAAATATCGCGATTTGTGTGATTATAATGATTTGTCATGTGTAGGTATTTACTTTTATTTACTGTTGTAGGATCGTGTGTTATTCTCATACCTCCATGCTCTAGCTCTCTCCTCGCATTTTGCTCTCCATGCATTTTAGCTTTCTCGGCATTCAATTTGTCAATTCGCTTGGAACATATGTCGCGTCTCTGTAAATTGTTAGTTTTGCTTTGTTTTGTTTCAATATGCCGTTTATCTATAAAAAAAATTAAGTAAGCTTGTTTTGAGTTGTCAATCCGTCCAGCCCAAGCTATTGCAAATTAAACCAATAGTTAAGTATCCTTTTGACTTCCGGTCATCGGTGGGCATGGCATTCAAGACTATCCAAACTTTGAAGGTGACGCAATTGGTTATCGGGAATTTAAGACTAGTCTGTCACTGCTGGTAATGAAGAAAGAAAGAGCAAGGCAGAGAGGATTAAGCTATTGTCAAAAACTCTTTCCTTCAGCAAGAGACCGGTATTTAAGAAAATTGTTGGGCATTAATGATGTTGATCCCTACAAAGTGCCGGCAAAGCAGTGGTGTGCAAATTTTACAAGCGAACCTCCTGTTTCACACGGTGATTTACTGGACTATTTGGTGTTTGGTGTCAGCCAATACACCTTGCAAGAATTCATGGCATACATGACGTTTGAAGCTTACAGGCAATTTATGGATGGATGGGTGCAAGAGATATACACCCACAAACCAGCCAACTGCAAAAACACTGTCATTGCTGCCAAGGTGAAGGTGCACGAGGATAATGAATCATGACAATGTAATCTCAACTGTGAATATTATTACTTTATATTCTTACATATATATATAGCTTATCTAGTGGCACGTAACAGACTTTGCCCCTGTAAATATAAAGTATTGTGTACCATAAATATTCACAGCTGGTTAACTGATATACGATACGTATATCAGTACAATTCATAAACTGATATTATATATGTGGCATTCACAGCTGGGAAACTGAAGAAATGCATTCCATTGTCTAGTTTTCTGTTATAGTCATGAGAATGACTGGAGCATCAAATAACGGCGCAGTAGCATCCCATCTTCAAGCTAAAACTTGAAAAAGAGATGAGCACCATAGATATAAAATGTAGGCAAAAGCTAGCCCATGCAACAAATATGGTGGCCAATATCACAATGCATCTCATGATGATGTGACATCATCCTTGAACGTGTGTACAGTCACACATTCGTGTACCAACTTAGGCACATAGACAGTGGATACACTTGTGTCATCGCACAGCCGCAGCTGCCTCCGCTATAGGTAGCTGCAGACAATCCTGGAACGTAATTATATACCATACACTAATATGCATACATTTATAGAAACGTGGAGAGAGGATATGCTTGTCTCATATTACAGATGCAGCTTCCACTGCTGAAGGTAGCAGCAGTCATTCATTTAATGTATTTATACACACTAATAGTCTGATACACATATGTTTATAGAAACCTGGAGAGACGATATGCTTGCGTCATTGCACAGTTGCAGCTGTGGATGGAAGCAGCAGAAATTCAGTGAACATATTTATCTACAGACAAACAACAAAATTCAACCCAATTTAAAACAATTCAATCCAAGACAAACAAATCAAATCAATCCAATTCAAACCAACTCAGCCCCCAGGTTGGGTTGAATTGGTTTGGGATGGGTTCAAAAAATTTTGTTAAATTGGGTTGAGTTTGATTGGATTGGGACAGAGTGGATTGTGTTTGGTTGAATTGGGTTAGGTTGAGTTGTGTTATGTTGGCAATGGATGAGTATATGGTTGGGTTGGGTATGGATGTGTTGGATTGGGTATGGTTGTGTTGTGCTGGGTTGGGGTATGTATGATTTGGTTAGGTTGAGTATGGTTGGGTTAAGCATGGTTGTGTTGAGTATGGTTGGGTTGGGTATGGTTGTGCTATTGCTGGGTTGGGTTGTGCTGAGTTGGTATAGTTTTTTAGTTTGAGTATGGTTAGGATGTGAACCATACCCATAGTTTGTATGTGAGGCACAAAAATACGATCACGCCATGAGTCAGCACAGAGCTGCAGCTATTGGCAGCAGAAGGGGTCAAACTGTATATGGTTATAAACATGTTGACTCTGATTGCTTCATCTTATACTATTATTTCATTTCTGTACTGGAGTATCATCAATACAAGGTTGCCAGATGTTTTTTTTTTAATTGCATTAAGGCTGGCTAAAAGTTATGATAGGAGTACTTCCTGATTAAATTAAAAAAAAATGAAATTTTTACACCATAACCTACACAAATATACAAGTATCTATTGAAAATATAGGCTTTTCATGTTTGTGGACTTGGCCATTTTTTAGGCCATCTGGCAACTCTAAATTATATACCACTACATCCTGGGAAAATACATTTTGGTACATAATACATATGTTCAAGTACCACTTTGGAGTCAACATTTTAATAGTATAATAATAATAATACCCTACAAGCATTGACACATGGCATTGTGAGAAGATATCACATTATTGCATAGCTGCAGCTACTAGTGGCAGCAGGGGTTATTACGGTTATTAATATGCTGTGATTATTGACACATGGCAACGTTGTGAAAATGTCACATCATTGTATAGTGGCAGCTACTGGCAGCAGCATCGTAAATAAATTAATAGATGATTGATTTAAGAGATGATTTTAGTAAAACTATCTCTTAAATCAATCATCTATTAATTCATTTACCACTTAAAATCAGCAAATACGAGTATTCTTAAAGGATTCCTAATATATTCACAGACTTATTCAAAAGTCTCAAACCATAATATTCTTTCTAGCCAAACAGTTTATCACTATTTAGTAAAGCAAGGTCAACTATCAACTTTCATAGTACGTGTTTTTATGTTCTCACCACTGTGCAGAGAGTAGATGAATATTGCGAGATCTTTGGCGACGCTTCAGTATCAAAATTTACGCCTTCAAAAGATTTTGTCGACACATTTAGATTGAAATTCTTGCATTTACTATATTTGTCAGTCTTTGGCCAACTATTTAGAAAAGAGTAAGTTTTCCGGTATGTTGGGTGGATCAGGATGCAGTAAAGCTTGTACAGAAATTGGTTGCAATGAGTTCCCGCCAAAAAAATGTAAAGAAAATGTAGTTACGGTCACATTAGAGCAGTCAGACTGCATCATCACATGTTCAGTTGACACTTGCTCTTGCTGTACAATCGGACTGTTTTTAGGGTAAAATTTGTTATTTGGGGTAACACGTGCATTCAACCTTGTAAATAAGTTTGTGGCTTTTAAATAGTTTTTCATTACTCAGCTTAAATGGCTTTTCATTAAAAATTACCTGGCATGCTGGCGACGCATCTTGAAAATGGTTGGCGACGCTTTGGGCTTGAAAACCCTTATATTGGGCATTGGCGATGCTGCTTCCACCTTCTGCACCCTGGTGTTCTCACTAGTTGACTTAGACTTTTGCTCTGCTGATCTTGACATTTTCCCGCTTGACCTAGTGTTTTACAGAAATCTGGCGCGCAATAGTATGACATCACTATTTCAACCCCCTACGCATGCGTGGAACTAAGGCCAAGCTTAATATATCGGAAAAAGTTGAGGGATGTCGGAATTACCCACACTCCACAGCATGGTGCAATTACATATAAATTTTAAATTACCTTGGTAATTTGAGTTTTGGGCAACGCCGAACTTAAATTAGAGGAGTGGCGGCTCGCTGTTCGCAGCCCCCGCGCGCACGGCAGACAACCTCCCACGCTGACAGTCTAGATAACACTGCCTGGCTCACAGCAGTCGTCGTGCAAGCGGTTTTTCAATACAAAATAGTCTTAGAGTGCTAAAAAAGTCCTAACTTACTCACGGAATGCGAAAAGACTCTAATCTTCAAGATCATTTATAAATTAATAAAAGCAACATTCTTCCTTAAACAGACACTGGTATGCACAGGAAAACTTTCGCTAATAATAAGTATGACCTCAGTTACACGTATTTGTTCGTAAAACTTACCGCTTTTTGCTTTTAATTTCTTAATTTTATGTTGAAAGGTACAATGGCGAGCTGTATTGCACCTGTCTCTTATACACATCTAGATGTGTATAAGAGACAGTGTCAAGCCCTTCTGTCTGACACCCGGTACTTACAATCTTTTAATGTTAACTGAGCAGGGAGTAGTCGGCGCAGCAGAACCAAACGTTGCCAGAACATGTACAAGATGTGTATCAAACCTACGCATCCACTAGTATATTGATTTGACCATACAATTTTATTATGAATCCATTTTTTTTTTCGCTGGTTCCAAATGGAACCGCTCGGCATTAATGGGTTAAAGTAAATATGAGGATGTAACTGGACGATCGAGTTCTCTTAAAAAAAATTTTTGGAAAGTATTTTTCTTGTGAGAATCACATCGTTTTATTAAATTTTTAAATAATATCATCAGATTTTTTATATACTGATAGTAATTAATTAATGGCTATATCTCAATATTTTTTTAGATGTCAATAAATAGCTTTGTTTCTAATTGGCTTCTCGCTTACGTGTGTGTGAACTGTTAAGCGGGCTTTTTTTAATAAAAATTAGCTTCAACATGCTGAATGAAATCAAATGATAAAAAAATTAAGACAATGCACGAAAAATGATAACGTCAATACATAATTTAGTTGTTAATTATCTCCTTGTTGTATTAATTTGGCAAACTTGTGCATGATCATATGGTAAAAAGTATAAAAAGACCGGTCCGACACTTCTGCGAATAAAAAGTAGCCATAATTTGCTAAATAATATCGAAGGGAACTACTTCGAAGTTTGAATAATATGGAAAAAAACTACCCTTCATTTTATTAGGTCAAGATTGGTTTCGATTAAAAAAAAGTATACGTGGAACATTTTCAGTGGAAATTTGTCTCAGAACTGTCGATTCGGTCTACATCGCCTTTCGAAGTTCTTCAAACAAACCTGAAGTCAAGGATACAATCGTTGTGATAAAATTATTAAATGAGAGAATTGTGAACAAATAAAAATTAGGAAGGAAAAAAACACTTGAATTGCTTAATGAGTCTTTAATTTAAATAGCAATGAGTTGTTGCCATGACTATTTAGATTGATCGACACATTATATTGTTGCAGAATGGCAGCCGATAATCAATATACATAGGAAATAAAATGTATGTTTTGAAAGCAAAAATAATAATATATTTTAACTCTTGCAACTGAATTTAAGGCTTTCGACCCTTTTAACACGTGCAAAATTCGTTAAGTGTTGTCTACCTTATTGTCCTTTGTTTATAGTACGTTACATCTATAGTCCACGACTGGCGCGTATTAATTCATGTAACAGGAACTGTGTTGACTGCTAAGCGCTGTTCTTACTCCGATCTCCAGTTTCTCCTCGAGTGGATTACTGATAATGATAAGTGATAACTGACTAAGCTAGTCATCATTTTATGAGCATAGTAACTTTACTAACTTAGTAAGTAATATTTATTCGTGAATCATAATCATTCCTGAATAGTTGCATCCAGTAATCTACTTTCATATCTCCTGTAAATGGCTCCAATCTCCATTGCATAAGTATCGTAGCAGTTCTCCCTTTCTTGGCTTAAGTTGGCTATAACTGTTGACTGATTTCTGCTTTCAGCGCACCATTCTGAAAAAAATTAGATTAGGATCAGTTTGTTAATGAAAAACCTAGAAACCAAGTGGAAGCAAAAAACCAGGATGGCGGGATCCCACTATGCAGAGGGTGGATGCAGCATCGGCAATATATGGATTTTTAAGCCCAAAGCGTCGCTGGCCATTTTAAAGATGCATCGCCGGGTAATTTTTAATGAAAAGCCATTTACGCTGAGTAATGACAAACTATTTACAAGCCACTCAGTGTCTGAATATGGTGCGTTTACCCTATTTCAAACCAGATGTGTCAGCAAAATCTTCTGAAGGTTACATTTTTCTACTGATGCATTGCCAATTTGCCAAAGATCTTCAGATATTAAGCCACTTCCTGCACCCTATCATGCAGATTGAAAAGATAAATTCCCTTGCAACCATCTCCATCTCGCGCGGCCACATCTTCCTGACTATGGAATAGGTATGAACTATGGACCGTATGGTCTCAACAGTCATGAGTCAACTCTTGGTCTCTAAGGAAAAACTGTCTCTGCCTGACTCTGGTCTCTGAGTGCATAAATGACCGTATCAACGCACAAAAGACTTACAATGAACTGTTCATGATGTCAGCAATGAAAAAAATTGAATACAGAAATTATTTCTTCGTTTGGTGCAGACCGTGCAGTTAGTAACTTGAAATAACAGCAAACGTACTCTTCCCAATAATCATTCGCAATAGCAATAGAGAATGCGCATTGTTTTTGTTTTGACTTGAAGTTAGTGGACTTTAAATGAATCCGCTCTAGCAGAACCTGAAAATTGCTTTATACGTACACTATTACTTGAATTAGGCAGAAGTGCCAGAAGCAATAAAGTTGAAGATTATCAAAAGCTTTATAAAATCTTACTAAAAATTTATTCCTATGCGAAGTGTTAAGTATTAAGGACTAAGGATATTCTTTGTTATTTGATGTATGATAATCTATACAAATAATGGAATTTTCGAACACGAATTTCGTGATCTTCTAGAATAAATATATAATAAGCAATTCAAAGTAAATGCAATTGAATTATCTCAGTTTGAATTTTCTTTTCTCTTAGCAACTTTATGCTTCACAGCGTCACGGAAGATCGCTGAAGTGTCGATTCGGTCCTAACGGTCTTGTCAGTATTTCAATTGCGCACTCGATCAATTGAAATTTTTGACAGATACACAAATTTGTTACCTTTTTTCTAAAGTTTCACTTGTGTTTTAGTTGCGCATTATATAATGGACAATACAATTAGACCAAGAAACACATAAACATTTCCCAATAATTGATGTGATTTCGTCAATGGTTGGCCATCATACTGGTTCATCGGCAGTTGGCATAGCCAAATTACTCAAAAATTTCATATAATGAATGAATACCATAAGTTTTTTCAGGTAAAGTCATAAATTTAGTAAATTTTAAAATTAAATTCTCAATTCCTAACATTTGGTCAGTTAAATATTTTATTTTTTTCTGCTTTTGATTCTCTAAGCTAAATGTTTGCCGAAACCATGGCATTTTGTTTATAACTTCAGTTAAACAACTTATCTTCATTTGGAAATGATTTTTACTCATATAAAATTGGTAAAACAATTAATGTCGGCGTTGTTTCTATTCCCTCTAATATGACTTTTGATACATAAAAATTTCCAAGCCTCATTCATGGAATTTCACTTTATGTTATATAAACTCGGTTTAATATTGTCATCCATATTTTAATAGATTATTTAGCCAACTAATACTGAGAATAGGCCTTACATGGCCTGATCCCTCGTCATTTGTAGTAGATGCTCTCAGCAAGAGTGAAATCTGCCACGCTTGAGGCCTGCTGTACCGCCGGCCGACGATGCTAGCTTCTGACCTAAATACAGGCGGAGAGCTGATGCTCTGCGCTGTCCATCCAAGATGCTTATCATCCCGGCGTTTTTATTTCAAATCTGCTTTATATAAAGCAAATGAGATTATTTATACATAATTTGTATCATACAATATGACATACAGTTGCATTTAAATTTATCTAAAGCTCTATCGGATCATATTTACGGATTTAATCTTTATTCATACAAAATCTGAGGAGAGTGAGGTAGCACATTGCTAAGAAATACTGACGGTTATAAAGAGTCGTCGTGAAAAATGACTGTGATGTGAAGAAGATTCAAAAAAAGCTATTCAGCCTAATAGCTGCGGTTGAACATAAATGCACGTGATATTCAGTAGTGTAACGACAGGTTCAGTGGTTCACTCAACTCACATCAGTCAGAGTTCCTTGATCTGTTGACTCGTCGCCTCGTGCAAAGCACTCCAGACCGTCCAGAGTCCAGGCGACCGCGAGCCAGTCGAAAGTCTAGCGAGCGCTGGCAAGTCAGTGTTGGTCTTGATGTGGTAGTGGTAGGTGGAGTATGAAAAAGCTCCGATACCACCACTGCAACCTATTTGCACGAGTGTCCTATCTGCCAATCTTTAAATATCAGACTAACTTATATTCATGGGTAATTATAAGTGATAGAAGTATTTTTTGAAAAATCACACCCGCAAGTCGGGTCGTGTATATCGAGGAAATGGTTAATTCATTGTGCCCATCATTTGAACTTAATTGACATGGTTGCAACTTGCAGTGACACTTGTTTATTACATGAGAATCTTGAACAAAAAGAACTAAAAACGTTTCGATTTCAGCCCCTGAAGTTATCGTAGCAAATCGACTGAAATGGAGAACTCGCCTAAGGGATCAAACGTCAAGCTTTCGAACAGACATGAGAAAAACTTGCTCCCCTAAGCAACACTTCTTACACTTTTCCATCAGCTTCAAGATGGCATAGCACCTGTCTCTTATACACATCTAGATGTGTATAAGAGACAGCAATAAGGGACNTCCTTGTCGACATAAACTCCGAGATCTTTTTCCACACTAGACTTTTCAATCATTACTCTCTCGTAATAGGATTCTGCACCCCAATTCTTTATATTGTGTTGTGTATGCCTACGTTCTTAGTGGTTGCAAATTGTTGCATTTCATTCGCTTTTCAATCGTTGGTTGTAAACCCCCGTAGTAAATCCGTTCTATAAATGAAGATCTATTAGTTATTATGAATGAGTGCTGTTAATACTGTAGAATGTTGTCATAGAGACAGCGCCTTATTTTGCCTCTTTTTCGCCTGTGACGGAGAGATATTTTGATCATTTTTTCGCCGACATACGTGCTTCTAAAGTAACTTTAGTCAAATATATTTATACATCGTCAAGGTGCATATGACTCTATGCTGTGGCTTACTAGGTATCCGCAATAAAGTCCTGTTTATCTTATCGTTCATGAATAGTTAATTCTGTATATATCCAAAATCTGATGAAGAAGAAATTTTGGAATGTAGAGTTTTTCTTGTATTTCTGTTTATCGGTTTCTTCTCTCCGGACTTACTACGACGCAAGGAAGCGCCCTTATAAATGCGAGTAAATCGGGAGAAATTTTGTTTCCATTTTTTACTGAAGCTTCTGTGTGACGATATGAATCTCTGCTGGAAACAGCTCCACAGACTTACTTAATATGAGACAGTGGTCATTCGTTCGCTATATTAGAATACTTTTACACTGGTAAGAATTTTTATGCTTCAGGAAATCTATGTGTACATTTGCAATACTTTTCCTTCACTCAATCTTGGGATATGTTCAAATTAATTAGGCTGTAGTAATATTTGAGAGCTAAGCCATCACGGAACGTATGAAATTCAAGTAGACTTACGACTCATTTATAGCAGCGTTGGAGGTTCAAATTCTGCGTCGAATGTGTCTAATTTCAAGTATCATTGTAATTATCTAGTGTATTATTTCCGTAATTAATGTGTTATTCAAATTATTATTATAAATATCATGAATCGAAGTCGTTCCGTGTTCTATTCATAATATGCTAAGCATAGCTTACACTCGTATATTCAGCCCGCCTCCAAGTCAGAATCAACGTTCGTTATAGGAAACAGGTAAATTACGCTGTATAATGTACAGTATATCCACTGCAAGCGATAATCGAAGCTCCCTCCTCCATCGAGACCGTACATGTAAACATATAAACTACCGTACCGTACATGTAAACATGTATAAATAACCGTACATGTAAACAACCGTACATGTAAACATTATCGGTCTATACATCGGTTGAAAAAACCGGTGGATTTTCATATGGTCTTAGTGTAGCCGGCTGACTTGTGGGTCAATATTTTATACGAAATTTAGGTATCATGTATTGAGACAAACCGAAGATCTCCACATCGCTCAAATATTCAGTAAAATATTTATGAGTAAAAACAGTGAGGTATTTTTAGGTCCTCGGGAGGAATTGAGAGTTGCTTGACTGATGACTAAGTTTTTACTTAGAATAATTTGCGTTTAAAAATCACTTATTAAAGACAACACTTTTAAAGAGGCCAGTGTCTCCGATGTTACACATGTGCAATGAATTTTTCATTTTAATTTTAAATATAGAAAAATTATTTTTCAAATTTTTATAATAGTAAAAATTTTTGTTTTAATTTTATAAATTATTTACTCTGTCATATGTATCAAGCATTGTCTCTGACTTTACGCAAGTCTGCAAAATTTCAGATCGATTGGAAAGATAGAAGGGTTAATATCGATTAAAAGATTTGTAGCAGACAGACAACAAGAAGTGAAGTTAAAGGGAAGTGTTTTTATAAGATCGAAATGGGGCTGAATTAGAACTAACGGCACAGCGAACAGTCGCAAATAACAATTACAATAAGTTAAATACGACTGTAGTTGAATGAAAGTATATCATTGCATCAATAGCAACGTGCAAGAATTTTGTAATTGATTTTTGTCGACTTGCATATGCCGTTGGTACTAACTTACACAAATTACGAATGAATAATTTGGCTTCAATGGAACAATTTATCTGCGATGGTTTTGGTAAAGAAGAAAAAACCTTTTACTTTTGCTCCTTCTAATGAGATAAAATTATTTGATTTCTAAATATTGCTTGGTTCCCTACTTAATCCTTTTAGTAATATGCCCGCTAAATGTAAAAAAAAACGTTCGTTGTCTTCTCTCCGTCGAAACTTTCTACAGGATCACTGTTTTTGCATCTTTTAAAACACGTAAAAAGTGATACTTAAGAAGTGATTACAGAAGTGATGCGAAAAAAATGTCACACAGAAAAGGACGGTTTTCATGCTTAGAAATATTTGTTAGCGCTTACAGAAACGTGTTGAATCGTTCAACTTTTGAAGGCAGCATGCAGCGACGAAGGCTGGGGTAACGCACGTAGCGCAAATTTGCGAATTTTCGTCACCGCGGTCACTTACGAAAATACGTCTACATACTAGAAAATATAAACGGAAATTGCTTTGAGTGACGAAAATTTTATCCTCTTTTTCGTGGTCCTCCTCTGGATGGGTCAGATGTGTTTCTTGGTAAAGGCGAGGGAAATCCTGGTGAATGCTCTGAAAATGTGTTCACGATAATGAAACGGCAGCAGGTATTATTATTACTCATGTTCTGGGCACATTTATTCCAAATACGCTGCAATATTGTGTGTGTAGATGATAATTGTTTCAGTTCAATGCGATATCTATGAACATCGTCGTAGATATCGACGTATTTTTTTATATGCTTTTCAGATTGTTATTAGTGCGTGGCTTTGTATCGAAATTTCGTTTCTTGGTATAATGTTAATATATGTATCTTTCCCATCTGCGATCTGTTCCGCAAATTTGAAGATAAATTGCTCGAATTTTACTGATGCATTTTCTGAAAAGTTCTGCAATTATTCCGGCGTTTAGAGGTCGCCCATAACAGTGTACCTCAGGCAGCGTAGAAAAGCTGATAACTTGTGTCGCGCTGATGAATTTATTGCTTCTGTCATTAATTATTGTATGTAATACTAGCTCACTGCCATATCACTATCCAGCTACGATGGATACTTTCACAAATGATTTATTTATTCCGGAGTGCAACTTGCCACATTTACGTAGTGCTACTACACCTGTGGAAAAGTTCAGAAGTTTTGATGAAATTATCTGCAGGTAAGTTTCTTTGTATTTCGACCTAGTTTCTTTCTAGCTGTCTTTAAATAAAACAACCGGTTGAATTTTTAATTCACCGTAAACTAAGTATTGCATCCCTAATTTGTTTGCTTTAAAATTGATCTTTCACCCACTTCTACCTAGCGGACTCATATCTGACACCATAAAATTATTATATTACAACAATAAATATAAAAGCAGGCTTTTCCCAACTCCTGCTTGGCGTTGCGGCATTTGGTATCTTTCTGGTAGTTACGGTACTACTAGTTATCGTCTTAATTAAAAACTTGAATGTAAAATTAGGGGTTACAAATTCATGACAGGTGGAGTGAAGTAAATTATGAAAAGCGATTTAATAGTATTTAATAATTTTTCATTGTATGCCATAATGTATTGTTTATTCTGAGAACTTTAGGCTTGTTGGGGAAATGCCTTTGAGCTTGTAAACGAGACGACTGATAGGGCATGAGTATTCAATGGATATCTTAATTTCGTTTCATATCGGGCAGCTAGCACTGCGCGGTGCCACATTTTCTTTCTTCGCACCTAAGCTGTACGCTGGTTTTGTGACCAAAGAAATAGATTGCATGGCAAAAATGATGGTCTGACTGGTGAAATACAGTATTTTTTTTCGAACGTGTGATACGACATTGATCCATCAAAGAAGGGAATCGTGTTCTTCATTGAACTTGGGATTCGTTCCGCAAGAAATAGGTTGGCGATCACATTAGACTCTTTGAATATAATTTTTTGGTCACATCTTCCGAAATCTATTCCATGCTTATGATTTTACAGGAAATAATCGTTACTCAATCAAAAACAAGGTCTATGTAATTTTCTCTGTATTACGAACTTTGAGGAAATTGTATTTTTAGGTTAAATTTATAATACCTAGTCGGATTCCTGCATATTTAAGACTCGAATTATTATTACTGGTAATTATGAGTGCATGATACTTGCGACGGACATGCATTTCTGATCTTGCATAGATGCTTGTGAAAAAGTTTTTGTGCATAACACGTATATATCACTCATCTTGGCAACGAATTCATCTTCTATTGAGTCGTATCTTAAGTGGAAGTTTGTTACATAAATTGTTAGTTACTTAGATCAGATTATTTTGTTCTTTAGGATTGACGTCCGGCAAATGGCAGTTAACATTCATTTCGTCCCGTATCCGCTACCCGATAGTTTCGGAAAGAACAGCCGCATATCCGTTAATTTGTCAATTTTCAATGAATTTTATTCAAACAATCAATCAATTTTCGATGAATTTCACTAAAATATACGACCAATTTTCAATGAATGCCATCCTAGTTCTACTATCTTTACTCTTTTATCCAACAGGACCGTCGTCACTAGACTTGTATCGAAGTAGCCGAGTAGTCGGAAAGACTATCAACGCTACAGACTTAACCCGGTGCCGCCTGATATGAGTAACCGGAGCAATATTTTCA